GGGCAACTTGGCAAGACCTCACCTCTACAATAACAAAATTTAAAAAATTAGCCAGGCACAGCAGCGTGCACCTATAGTTTTGGCTACTTGAAAGGTTGAGCCAGAAGGATCGCTGGAGCCCAGCGGGTCAATGGTGGGGTGGCCATGAGTGTGCCACTGCATGTCAGCATGGATGATGGAGTGAGACTGACTCAAAAAGGAGAGGTCAAAGGAAATCAAGTTTGTGCTAATACTCTTAAGTCACTCAAGTAAACCCTGAGATGCACCTTATCTTCAGACTTCTCATTTAAATGAGCCAAATATCTTATTATTTAAACCAGATTGAATGGGCTTTTGGTACTTGCAACATTCCAAGAAGATCTGAATTAGGGAAGTCTCCATGGAAGTGACAATTGTGGCGACACTTGAGGGATAAAGTGAGTTACCAGGAGATAATTGGGAGGGAAGAAAGTTCCAGGCAAAGAGAATACCTGTGTAAAGATGGCAAGCAGAAGCATGAGAATCTGAAAGAAGACTGTGGGGATTCTACATTACAACTGGAGAGGTAAGGCAGAACGGGACCAAGAAGGCCTTTTAAGTCATTGAAAGGATTCTGGCCACTGAAAGATTTTTTTTTAGTAACATAAGGGTGGGAAACAAGAAGGTACATCATATAAAACACAGGACAGCCCCTCACAACAAATTATTCAGCCCCAGATGTCAATGGTGCTGAGATTGAATTTCTCTAGAAATATATTGGCACACACAAAACAACTTTTGCACAATCATTTATTGTTTGAAACTGCAAACCATTGGAAATGAGACAAATATACATATGTAAGAGATGAGTTAGTTAAATAAATTAGGATACATTTGTACAATGAAATACTATGTAACCATTAAGTAAAATGAGTTGGTCTATATATACACCAATCCAAAATCATTGCAAAGATGTTAAGTTAAAAAAAGAAAAAAAAAAACAGTATATATAGCATTATATAATAGGGTGTGTTGCTTAACAATGGGAATACTTTCTGAGAAACGCATCAGGTGATTCTGTCATTGTGCAAATATCATTGAGTATACTTATACAAACCTAGATGGTACAGTCTACTACACACCAAGGTTAGATACCTTGCTTCTAGAGTATAAACCTGCACAACACTTCATTGTACTGAGTACTGCAGGCAACTACAACACAATGGTAATTATTTATTTAATTTAAACGTCTCTAAGCATAGAAAAGGTACAGCAAAAATACAGTATTATCTTACAGAACCACCATCTTATATGTGGTCTGTAGTAGACCAAAACATCAATATGTACCAAATGACTATATTTACATATTTTAAAAGATGGTAGATGTGGTAAATATTATATATTTACATATATACACACATATGCATATACGTTTATATTTGCCTGTATACTCATAGATCATCTCTGGACCAGGACCAGACACGCATTTTGTGGGGCCTAGGTCAAAATAAAAACCCAGGGTCCCTTTCTTTTTTTTTTTTTTTTTTTTTTTTTTGAGTGAGAGTCTCACTCTGTTACCCAGGCTGGAGTGCAGTCTGCATGCTCACGTCACACCAGCATCGACCTGCTGGGCTCAGGCAATCCTTCCATCTCAGCCTTCCAAGTAGCAGGAACTACTTTTGATTTATTGTAGAAACGAGGTCTTACCAAGTTGCTGGTCTAAACTCAGGCTGGTCTAGAACCCCTAGGCTCAGGCAATCCTCTTGCCTTGGCCTCCCAAAATGCTGGGATTACAGGCTTGAGCCACTGCACCTGGCCTTTTTTCTTAATTTATTTTTTGAGTAACAGTTGCACTCTGTCACCCAGGTTGGAGTGCAGTGGCATGCTCACAGCCACCACAGCCTCAACATGCTGGGCTCAGGTGATCCTTCCACTTCAGCCTTTCAAGTAGCTGAAACCACAGGAGTGTGCCACTAGGCCCAGCTAATTTTTTCATTTATTGTAGAGATGAGCCCTTGCCAAGATGCCCAAGCTAGTCTTGAACCCCTGGAAACAGGCAATCCTTCCACCTCTACCTCTGCCTCCCAAGTGCTGAGATTACAGGTGTGAGCCACCAGTGCCCCACTCCAGGGTCCCTTTTTAAAGATTTTTAAGAATTTCAAGATAGCAGAACATTAAACCAAGTACTTAACAGTACAGGTTACACATCCATGCAGACCCTGTTCTGGCAACATATACAGTAACATGGAATAGTGGTGATTATAAGAGTGGCAGGAGAAAGGGACTGACCTTTCAGCGTATACTTTTCTCTCCTTTTTGAATTCTATGTAAAGGCATTACTTATTGAAAACAAACAAGGGGTGATTGCGGGCTCATCTGGATAGCAAACTTTGAAGTGGAACTTTGATGATTGCCTAAAGAAAAGAAACTCTGCAGGGGAAAACATGGTTTCAGTCCATGATTGTCCTCAGACTTGAGCAAGCACTGGGCCCCGTACTTAAGGGCAGAGGTCCTCACCCTCCAGTACAGTCTGCGGCCTGTTAGGAAAGGAAAGCTTTATCTGTATTTACAGTCGTTCCCCATTGCTGGCATTACCCACCTGAGCCCTGACTGTCAGATCAGCCATGGCATTAGATTCTCATAAGAGTGCAAACCCTACTGTGAACTGTACCCACGAGGAATCTAGGTTGCACATTCCTTATGAGAATCTACTGCCTCATAATCTGAGGTAGAGCTGAGGAAGTGATGCCAGCGCTGGGAAGCAGATACAAATACAGATTAACATTAGCGTGAGGTTTGACTGCAAAGACCATAATGAATCCACTGCTTGCATATTCATATCAAAATAATTTCATAATTACTTCATTGTATATTACAATGTAATAATTATAAAGTGCATAAGAAATGTAATGCACTTGAATCATCCCAAAAATACACCCCCCCAACTGGTCCCTGCTGCCAAAAAGGTTGGGGGACTGCTGTTTTAGAGGGCCCTATGCGTCTATCCCCATAGGGTGAGAAGTCTATAAGAATTAAGAAACTGTGGCCACCTGGAACCCTCTCCATTTTTTTTAGACCATGCTCTGAGCACTACGGAATTCCCTACCCGAAAGACCAAGCCAAAGTTCAACGTCTGCACAGTCCTCTCCAAAGTTCAACCTTCCTGAGGTGTGGCCAAGTGGTGACCCTTGGACAGAAGGCCCAGGTGTCTAATCTCAGGCTCAAACGTTGTCTGTGGGAAACTTTCTTTGGCCCTTCCAAAGAGAAATGTTATTTTTCTCGGAGCTCAAAATATATTTTGTCCACATCTACCACAGCAATTATGAGACTATTACGCTGTACTATATTATAATGACTTACTTTAAGTACATTTTCTGAGGTCCCCCTCATTTTTTTTCTAAAAACCATGAATCCAACCAGGCGCCTCACACCTCTAATCCCAGCACTTTGGGAGGCTAGGGCGGGAGGGCTGGTTGAGTCCAGGAATTTGAGCCCAGCCTGGGCAATATAGTGAGACCTCACCTCTACAAAAAACAAAGTTAGCCAGGCGTGGTGGGGTGCGCCTGTAGTCCCAGCTACTCGGGAGGCTGAGGCGGGAGGCTCGCCTGAGCCCAGGAGGTCAAGGCTGCGGTGAGCCTGATCACGCACTCTAGTCTGGGTAACAGTGAGACCACCCCCCGCCTCAAACAACACGAATCTAGACACCGCCCCACGTAAGTGACCTGATCAAAACAAGCACGTTTTCACAAGAGCATGGATGACTGACAACTGCAACTCCCAGGTGCACTGCAGGGCCAACGAGCCCACCTCGCCGGGCTTTCACTTTTCAGCCTAACGGTAGTAAAGAACAAGCTGAGAGGCTGTATTAAAGAACGAATAAAGGGATTCCACCAAGAACGAGCCGGAACTGACCTAAACCACCGGCTGTCAAGGCACGCGCGCGACAGTCTCCTTTGCCCGTTCAGTGCGCCGATCTCCCGAAAGATAACGCAGGACAGGCCCCACGGGAAACAACACAGCAGCGAAACAGGGCCCTCAGAGGGGCTAAGAGGGTGGCTCCCCGCCACTTCCCTAAACTTGTCTGCATATTTATCCCCCACAGTCACAACCACGAGAAGCGCGCCGTCTTCCTGCGGCGGGAAGGGTGAGCCCAGGCGCCAGCGCCTCACGCCAAACGCTTTGGCGGGAAACAGGATCGCCGGGAGGTGTTAGTGTCCACAGGCACTTCCTTGGCAGATGCTTCATCGAAGCAGACGCCACGACGACTTGCAATAGGTTTCGGTTCGGCTGAAAGGGCTCAACGTTCCTTCGTCTTCACAGAAAGACGTCAATTATTTTCCCCCTCCTCTAGATGAACTTCCATCAAGGACAGCGAGCACTTTTTCTTCCTTTTTTGTTCTTGGTTCCTCTGGTCTAAGGCTTCGTACCTTTGGTTTGCTCCGCTTTTCCCTCAGAGCTGGGTCCCATCGCCCGTCACACGCGCGGTGCCAGCTGCAACCGGAAAAGTCCCGCACCGCAACTGCGCTTCCTCCGCCTTCCACCGGAAGGAGGCATCTCGCCGCGATGGAAGGCTCGCGAGAACCTCCCGCCCAATTGCGATCTCGCGCCAGGGGGCGGGGCCGAAAGAAGAGGAAGTTCCACTTAGGCCCGCCCACTTCAGTGGCGCACCCCTCCTCGCGAGAGCGCCGAGCCTTCGGGCCTAGGAAGCGCGTGCAGAAGCGGAGGTGCCGTTCGTTGGACTCGTCGGCCGCCGTAGCCCCTGCTAGGACAGCCCGTGCGAGCCTGCTGGAGGAGGAAGAGAAAGGCAGAGAGAGTCGGGTTACAAGATGGCGGATCTGTAGTTACGGCGGCGGCGGCGGCGGG